ATAGCAGAACCTACGAAATGTCACAACAAACCCCTTTAATTTGACGACAGTGGTGCTCAAGTACTCAAATTATTAAAGTCTATCAGTATGTGACGATGTTCACTTAGCGCTTGGCAACGCTACTATCCGAAAACCGTGAAGAAACAATAACCCCAAACTAAATTAAAACAGAAGTCAAGAGTGATAGGATGCGGATAAGCTTGGAGAGTTACCGTACGAAATACATAACACAGCGTACTCAAACGCGGTCCGGTGCGGATGCTTGATCAAACGCGTTAAAGTAAAGATATATCCAGTAAAATATATTAGATCAGCATCAGTATCAAATAATTACGAAGTTACTAATTTATCACTATATGTTCATTCGTCTGCTATATCGTGTATAAATAAAATGAAATTTGACCAGCTTAAATACTACATTCGATTGCATACAGAAGTAATCGAATATGAGAATGGGAAACTGGCTGGTGAAGAAATATAAACGGGATGACGTCAACAGATGGTTACGAAAAGTGATATTTTCCATCTAGATCATAATGAAGCACTGAATTTCTACTTAACCTTTGTTTTTGTCAAGGTGTTTAAGCATACTACTCACACTTTTGTGGTAGTTTATGAAGTATCATTGTATATTTTGAGAAGTAATGCTCAATCGAGACGTTTAATAAAGTCGAGTTGTTGCATTCTTCCTTTTTTATGTATTTTACAGTCATCCTGCAAAAAGTTAAGTAAATGATTAAGGAATGCAAACTAAATGGTGTGACCACTTCTGAAACGAGATCGTATAGATAACGGAGGCTTAGTCTAGACTACGACTAGGACACGTAAACTTGGGGACTGGTTCCATGGTTCGTTATTGCGCTTCCATACAACTTCGTGGAACTCCCTACTCTACAAATAGACTTTAGTTTTTGTTTTTGAATTCACTGACCTTCGAAGAGATTTAAAATACTGCTTTGATTGATGCAGGACAAGGTCTTGTCAACACCACCAGCTTATTTTTCAATAATGGTTGTTAAATTTTAGAAAATCCTTTATGATACATCAGAACAAATCCCATGAGGCTTGTACAAACCTTATCAGTTTATTTTGCTGTGGGTTGTGGTTTCGAGACTAAATTGCCTACAGGTGAGTTTGTTTCGTCGTTTAACAAAATACTTAAGCGTAAGAAGTTCACCACTTTATAAAGATTTATCGGCTACTGCATCAAGTTTTTACGTGTTTTATCATTCATGATGTGATTCTCTTTGAAACCCAACAAAAAATGACTTGGGGGCTTCGTAAACTGACACTCAGAGACTTGATAGTTTATGGACAAAGACTGGATATATTTTGTTAGTACCGAGCATTATATCTCACACAAAAAGACATTTAACCCCATAGTTACACTGTTAATCAATGAAATTTATTCAGACAACAATGTATTTAAAGATGGAAATGAACTAGTACCTAGTTTTATAAAAGACTGAGACTTTCTCGCGATATCATTGTTATTAGACAAAAGTCATACCTTTTTGAACATTTGGTAATCTTTGAAATTCTCATTTACAAGTTTAATGTGTTTGAAATTATTAAGGTTAAGATTTAAACATTAGTTTAGTTATTCGAAAATTCATCTGTTTAGTTAATGACTGCTAAGTTATAAGAAGCCATTATTATTCTAGAATAAATTTTTCAGGGTTTTACGGAAATTCACAATAAATGAGCCTACAAAACGAGTTCTGTATTTTATACGAAGACTGTAAATAAGAAATAAATGAAAATTAACACTATAATGCATTGTTGGTGTATGAGTGTTAAGTCACATGAAGGACTTTATGGTAAGTTAGAATATATTTTTATGCTTGGTTCGATGACAGTTAAGTTGAAGAATTAAAACCAATAGGCTAATAAATTAATACAAAGATCAATGAAACACAATTAGCAAATTATTGTTTGATTAAATAGACGGACTTACCACAAAGATATGTGTCTTGTCTATCCGTATGTCCGTCTATCACTTATTGATGGTAAATAAGAGTTGGCTTGTAGCCAACCCCAGAATGTCTTTTATTTAGTTTACAACTATATATTGTTTGAGGATAATATTGTATGACATATATGTATCTAATTAAATCATCGCATCCGACCTGATTACGCCGTTCTACAAACATGTTACTTCGTAAGAATATAGGCGAATTTAAGTATGAGGTATATATTTCCCTCCTTTTCACCAAGTGTATTCGATTAAGGTCAATTTCTGAACTAAATTGACACCAAACTTTGGTCAAACTGTTATACGAGTTAACTAGTTATCAGCATCAAATGCTTACAGCACAATGAAGAACTAGTTAATCACTAAATCTTTGTTTTTATGTGAGAGATATCTTTCTTATTGTTGTGTTACATCAGTTGCAGTTTATCGTTATCGTTTAAGTGAAAAAAACGTTTACATTAGATTCCTTGGTTTGTTTACTTGCTATGATATTTTATTTAGCATTCTTAGGGATAATTCATTGGATTCACTGAGGGCTCAGTAAGTCAGTATCGCACGTTTTTGAAATGTAATTGCAAATCATAAACGAGAGAATCCTTATGGAGGAAAAAACCAAGAAAACAATTGTCAAGATCGGTAGGATAAGAATTTTGGGGAATCCAAACAATAGGACTAGTCATAGTTCCATCCAATTCTTGTTCATCTTTTTCATGTCTATCTACATTTCCCGGCGTAATGTGTTCTTTGGTCTTCCTCTCCCACTTCGGCTTTGAGGATTCCATGTGAGGGCTTGTCTTGTGACGCAGTTGGGTGCTTTCCTCAATGTATGTCCTATCCATTTCCAGCGCTTCTTCCTGATTTCTACCTCCGATGAGATCTGGTTTGTTCTTTCTCACAGTTGGTTGTTGCTAATAGTGTCCAGCCGACAGATCCGAAGTATTTTGCGTAGACATAATGTGGTATACAAGATAGAATATTGAATAACACTTATTCATCTAATCATGATACATAATTTAAACCTTAGTTTATATTGAATTAGTTTACAATGATAACAGATTAACAAACACCCACTTATATATTTAAATTTCATCGACTATTTTGAATTATTTAACTTCTGTATAATAATAATAAAAAATAAAAGATCATTTGAAACCTACGCAAAACAAAACAAAAATAATTTGGTTATGTGTTTGTAAATTTAGTTGAAGTTAAAACATATTAAATTGAATAAATGATTCATTTGTTTGATGCAAAACGTCAGCACATCATATATGTCCCAATTTCAATTGATCTTCACACATAATAATTAAAAAGCCCCCGGTTTAATATTTTGATTTCTAAAAAAATTATACAGTAGTCAATCAACATTTATCCATACGATATCATAAAATTGTATCACAGATAATAATGTATTTCTCGTGTGTACATATCTATTTATACGTATTATTATGTAAAATGGTAAGTGGATGAGTCGAAAGGAAACTCTGAACCAATATTTTGAGCTAACTGGCTTTCGTCAGTAAAGTGTGCTTGAAATCTTGAGGGAATTGATGCTTTCTGAAGGATACGACTCCGTGTCATTGAGCTTCAAAATCAGAGACGTTACTACTAACAATTACCAACGATTTTTTACAATTACTAAAACACAATGGATAAATACTATGTGACAATGCCCATGATTTTACTTTGAAATTATTAAACAGTATTTCGATTCATATTTTATGAATTATTATTCTGTTTTTAAATATTTAACACTGAAAACAACAATGTTATATATATATATATATATATATATATATATATATATATATATATATATATATATATATATATATATATATATATTCTACAATAAAATATTGAAAACATCTTGCTTACGAAAATAAAAACAGAATATAGATAAGATGGTGTAAGAACATGAAACTCCTTTCTAAAACAATGAAATATGTCAAATTAAAGAAAACATCACTTTGCGAAAGAAAAAAACACTGCCTTCTCTCTTTTCATATGACTAGACGACGAAAGTATAAACATACATTACCACTAAATTAAATGAGTAAAATGAATCATACAATCTTTAATAGTAACGCTTACATTTTGAAATGATAGAGAAACCTTGCAACAACGGTGAATGAACATCTATGATATTGTGTGGTTATTTAACTTAGATTGTTTGTTTGCAGAGCTTCCAATATCAACATCAATAGTGTTTTCTTCATGTAGAACTGACATTTCCAGTTATAATAACTAAATAACTTCTATACTGAGTAGATCCTAATGATGCTATTCAGAATGATAATGAAAACTGTACAAATAAACTATCTAACTCCAACGTATACAACACTACCATAAATTTCACACATTCATAATGAAGAAATAAAAAACAAACAAAACCATTTATTGTCATTGTGTAATTGGAATAAAAGGCGACGGTTAAGGTATATATATATCACAATCATATCATTGATAATAAAATACTAAATGATAAAGTTATTATGAGCGAAAAGTGTTTATTTTTATACAGGTAAACTCATTGATATCATTTTATGAATTAAAAGTTGATACGTTGATAGTGAATAAGGAATTTTCTGTATAAAATATGTAACAATATATGCATTAATATAGTTTACATTTTACAATCATATCAATGTAAATTATTTAGATACAATGTCATTAACAAACAAACAACAAAAAATATATATAATTGAATAATTCGAGCGGGAAAAAAGAAATGTTCTCATATCAATTTACAGTTTTTAATTGAATTATTTATTTATATAACAACAGAAATATGTTAGTGGCAGATATTTTACATGTACAATGAAATAAAATTTTTTTTAAAAACCCACAGAAATAATAGTCAAATATGTGGGAAAAAATGATAAAGAATGTAGAACGAATGAAATGGAATATTAATGAGATTAAATATATAAAAGAGAGAGAGAGAGGGGGGGAAAAAGAGACAATGAAACACTAATTTTATTTTTATTATAATTTAATGCCATTCAATAGATTCATTGAAAATTCAATGCTTTTCTTCTACTTTGATTTGATTTGTTAAAATCGATTTGGCACGAACACGACGTTGGGCTAATGTAGAACATTCAACTGGTTCAAGTATTGGTATTTTACTAGTACTATTCAATGCTCTAAATGTAGCTTCGACTGAATTCTATAACATAAATAAAACATTCGTAATAAAAGAATAATTTATTATCATTATTGCTGAGAAATTCAGTTTATTTAGAACAATGTAATTTAAGAGTAATATTTACAATAAACTAAAAATACGAGAAATAAGTAACTGATGATTATTTTCTATGCAAGAGTTATGAAGATTGTTAAAATTTGTAAGTAATTTGTTATTATTGTTATTACACACTGGTTTTATTTTAACAGGTATGAGAACAACTGTACACACCCATGATTCCTAAAAGAGATTGGGCCCAATATAGTCAGATCTTATAGTGACCGAGTAACCTTCAGACATACGTTTATAAATAAATAATATACATACTATAAATATCCTCATTTTGAAAGTTAATGAACTAATCACAAAAAGTACCGCTTATTAAAAATGGATAGGTGAATTTTCTTTTATCACATTTGAACAGTTCAAGCGTTTTCAAATAGTTTGGTTAATCGAAATTCATTTATACCGTGAAATAAAGTTTAGAGAAAAATTAGACAATAGACATAATTAGATTCTTTTTCATATTTAGCAAGAAAATTAGTTTAAGTTGAATAAAACTTAGAAACCAAAACAGTACAGATTTTAGAAATTATTAATAATTAGTATTAGATATACACTAACCTAAGGAAAACTACAGCCGATGATATAAGTAGTAAGTATCTTATTGGTTCTTATTAGTCTTAAACTTCAAGAAAAAGGAAAACACTTACTTTTGTCTGAGTGACATCATTTAACAAAACGTCGGTCAATAATTCTGGTGACAGGTGATCACGATTTTTAACCCATGGATGTGATAAGATCGCGCTAGCTGTACAACGTTTAGATGGTTCAGGATTTAACATTTTTGTCAATAAATCCTAAACAAACATATGAAAGACAAATGTAATCAAAAGTTATAGAAAGAATATAAAACTTAAAAATCTTGTATATAAATGACAGCTAGTACAAAAATAACTATAGTGGATTTGTAGAAATGGCTGGATTTTATAGTTTACTATCACTGAAAAACCAAGGAAGCATTGATTTAAATTACAGAAGGAAACCATTGAATGCTGACTCAGTAATCTAAAGGTTAAGTACACATTGAGAAACCGAAATTTCCTGGATTTGATACTCTTTGATAGGTGGTCGTAGAATTTGCACTTATAAGGAGTTTCACATACCGGGACAAAACGGGTATCTAATGCTTCTTTGTTTTTACTGGTTATCTAAGTTGTTGACTCCATTTAAAAGTGTTCTGTTCTACTTTATGGCAGTGAAATATGGCCGGTAAGAGTAGAGGATATTCGTAGGTCACTAGTATTCGATCATAGTTGTCTTCGAAACATTGCTCGTATATCCTGGGACCACCAAGTAAGTAATACAGTTGTTAGGAAACGGGTACTAGGTAAGGATGGTAAATCAATTGAAGTTGAGATAGTTTGGATACGTGTTACGTATGGCCAACCACCGACTACCCCGACGTGCGATGTTTTATTGTGTAGGAGTAGGTTGAAAGAAAGCTGGGGGCGACCAGACCAAAACATGGCACAAATCCATGAAGTCACTGACAAGTGGACTGAGTCATGTTGATAGGTGTAGACTATTTGGTTGGGGACCGCGAGATGATAGCAATGGATGGTGAGAGACCCTGAATGACATGGCTCAAAATCATTTGCAAAGGCGCAGGTGCATCCACTCTTTACGTTCTCCCAAATTCTAATCTTCTGAATTCTTCATGCCCCTTTTTTTCTCTTTGCAAATTTATTTCACTGGATTATACTCCTTGAGTGACATCTTCAAACCTTAATCATTCCTATTACTGCGTATACTATTACTACCTCCACCACTACGGGATTTGAATCGACAATGGTATCTGTGTGCTAATGTGGTATGGCAACTCGAACTGATGTACGTATGTATGATGTTCTACGTTGTTGCTGACTGACATTTAAAAGAGGAGTTGACAAACCAGTGAATTTGTTAAAATCTGACAAAATTGAACACATACATTGAAAAATGAGTTAGAAGAAGCTTGGAAAAAACAAATTATTAATTGATTCAACTTCAACATGTTTGAAAATAATTTTGTCATTAGCGAAATATGAATGCATGTAAATAAGATAACAAAATTGGCCACTAATATATAAGTAGATAAGTAGTTATTATTCGATAAGATAAATGATTCTTCAAATTTCCTTGTTTATCTCCCAAATCAAAATTATTATTTTAAAAAATTGAAATTTAAAAGTTAAAGTGTAAACGAACAAACAGTATATTAGATTTTCAAAATTAAGGAATATACACAAAGATTGATATACAATTATTTTGTGAATTATGATGATTAAGCACTTGAACGAAAGTCAAGTTGGGAAACTAGTTCGTTATCGACAAGAGTCAAACACCAGTGGTAAGTGAACATCATTAGTAAATTCACTGAAATGAAAGATTAATTGATGATCATTTCTTTTCATCTTATACAGGTTTTTTGGGACATTCTTCAAAAGTTGTGTTTCGAAGAAAGTATACTATTTCAAACGCAAACACCAAACATTTAACGTAGAACGAATGAGCTGAAAACGTTTGAAATAATTAACAAACAGTATATCTCGCTTTTTGTAGAAACTGTTGTTACTACATGCTTTTGGCTGGACTTTTGTACACAAAGAGAAAGTGTGATAAACCTCTTAATACCATGATTTAAAACAACGTCTGTCAATTAAATAATCTTTTGATCTCAATTTATACTCTAAACATCCCATTGAAATTCATTCATAATGGTAATTTGAATATCATACCGACAAGGTGGCCTGATCGTAAAATCACTCATTGGTTAGTAAAATGGTTTATTCATTTTGTCGATTGATTATTAATTACCAGATTATCCCCTTCTCTATATATGAATTCAATCTCAATAAATAAACAATAATCATTTTTAACCGTTTTGTCAAATATATCAACCTTTTGTTGTTCCGTGTTGTTTAGAATTCGATTTCGTTAACTAAGGTATGTATAGCCTTGTTCATAAAAAAATATTACTAATTGTAAGTCTTAAGCTGTTTACAGCTTATAGTATCCATTCACTTTATTCTACAAATTTAATTTTGCTTTTAGCTTTTTTTTAATTTGTCAACGAATAAGAGCGTAAGAAAACAAAAACAATTCGGTTGAATCAATTAAAATACGCCACTGAATGATAATTCTAATAGTTTCCAAAAAACGATGAAAAGAAGACAAAAAAGTAGTTTCATTTCAAGGAACTGTAATTGACAGGTAGGATGAATTTATACAAATTGTTTATAAATGTTAAAATCATAAACTATAAAAGCACGACCTATTTTAACGGTGGATACAAATATTATGTCAGTGAATTTAATATTATCCCAACTTTTATGATTAATTAACACTCCTGACAAAAGTGTAATATCAAACTGAAAATGATTATTGATTACGTGAAAAAGTAAGTGTTTAAAAATGTGAATGGCATACTTCATGCACGTCTTATTCGTTGCATTGCTTAACAGGGCTAGTACGCATACAAATCAGCTAGTTTATTACAATAAAGAGATAAAAAGTTCCGTTAGTTAACGAATTAAAGAAAATGAAGTAACTCAAATACTCATCAAGGACGTTTTTAAGTGTCCATGAAATAATCAGAAAACAGAATATTACTATTAAATTGTTTGTGAAAATTGTTGAATTTCATAAATATATCACTGACTGATCTCAGTTAGACAACCATTGAAATCGAAGAATCATTGGACAGTGATTTCGTCATGATATGGTTGCATAATATCACGAAGTGAATAAAGTTGAACATTTAAACCAATCCATACAGACCTGGTGGTCTAAAAGTCAAGCGCTCACTAACATACTCGAGTACCTTGGTTCCAATTCACGTTGGGTTTGTGGATGTGCATTGCGGAGTGATCTCAAACTAAAACGAAACAGATAACCGGAGTTTCATGATTTTCGATGGTTGTCTAAGATCAATTCCTGATGAATGGTTTAGTTATGGGAACATTACTAAGAGCATTAATGTACCTGGTTCGAAAATGACAACACAGTTACCAAAAATTTATTATCAGACAAAATGATTGAATTCTATTACTCAAGTATCAGCTGATTCAGAAATAGCTTTCCAATTACAATTTCCTTGAAAAAGAGGCAACCTCTTTATACAACGTTTCTCGTCAGATATTTAAACAAGTAACAGTGATTACAGAATTTATATTAAAATTATAATTATAAACATATGTAAGACATATTCATAGTAATAGTGTGGTGAACGAGAACACAAGTGAGGAAAACCAATTTATTATTCAATGCAAAATTACAGAGTGCTTTAGTAAAATATGAAAATCATACATTAAATACATCATTTGCACATCTTTGCGTTGTCCTTTATCTACTACACTATTCCTCTAATTCCGTTTTATTTTAATTGCTCTCCGATTTGCTTTGTGTTCTCTATAATTCAATCTTCTGCTTCCAGGCATGACAACTTTCGATCGTGTCTACATACTACTTACATCTGACAACATACGCAGCATACACCACACATCTACACTAATGATGTAGCATGATTTATTTATAAAGTTTTTAAAACAGAAAGTATGGAACATTTATATCATATTCCATTGATTGTTATGAATAAACGACAATCACAGTATTTAACGAATTAAATCAAACGAAGTTCAAATAATAAAAAAGTTTACCTATGTGTGTTCAGTATAAAAAGCTTTAAAAACAATAAGCTATTGACTTCACTGGTAACAGAATGGGTGTAACTGTTAGAGCAATTGGAAATATTTTGTCAGTCAATCCGGCATTCGCAACGCAGAACTTGCTGAACATATGTGTCCCAATTCGCCACAGGATATCAGAGCAAAAGGATGAAATTACAAAGACAAACAATAAAGTGGTAATACCAATGCCAAGATTGGCCATGAAGAATATGAATGGAAGTATAAAATAACTTTAAAACTGAAGATAGAGAACAAGCGAATGCATTCGCTGCACAGCAACTAACTTCGAACTATATCAACTAGCATTTCCTCCTCCCGTTAGTTAAATTCACCACGCTGGACCAGGAGTCAATTACTTCTTGAATTATTACCGTGTCCAGGTTTAAACACCGCCAGTTTTACCCCAACCCATTCCTATGGCGACGAAATACTTTGTTCAGATCTGTATAGTTTGACGATAATTCAGACCATAAACTGAAATAAACAACTATTAAGTGGTAATTAAAGATTTATTTTTTGAAATTCCAATAGAAATATTTATGCAGTCATCAATGTTCAGAGTGAGACAGTAACCGACATATGATATTACGTAAAGACTGTATAATACCCCAACTTGAGTACAATTAAGAATGTAAACTAATCAATTGCAAAACTTAAGTTCATAAATAATATACTAATCACGAAAACTGATTGTTATGCGTTTTATTAGACATGAAATTGTTAGTACACACTATTGAGTAGTTTTAATGTACAATAAAAAAAACTCTTGCTAACTGTTTATTCAAGGGCTCCCTTTCTCTTACTATATGGTGTCGTGAGTACAGTAAACGCTACTCACAACATTACTTGTAAGTTGTATGTTGAGGAACATGGCCTCAAAGTTGTCGGATGAAATGAAGAGTCTCAGTACAGCGAAAGCACGGTGTTGGCAGAACGAATTGTAATAAGGTAAATTATTCTATTTGAAATATAAGTATAATAGTACTAAACAATTGGTATTTATCTATAACTATTTGAAAGAATATGTAATAGACTAGGTCAACATTTGCTATATTTAAATCAACTTCTCTAACAATTAAATTATAAACATCAGTTATAATGGTGAAAATAAATCTTATCAAGAAATTAAGATAGAAAATTTAATTCATAGTTTACTTTCCTTAAATATGTTGTGACATTTGGAAAAATTACATTGATGAAAGTATAATTTATAAATGACCTATGTATGATTATAAATGAAACTTGAGAAACTTTTCTCACTTATTAGGGTTTAAATAGAGTTCTAGATTGATGTGAGGAATTTGAATTGGGAGTTAGGATTTAGAATAAGGGCTTTTATTACGAATGGACATCAGTTATAATGAAAAACAAAGTTATTTAGTCAGATAGATAAATGAATTTCGTGTAGATATTTGAGTCACTATTTTAAATGTGATTGGTTAGTCCATACATTAGAGTCCTGGTAGTGTATTCATACAGATTGTAGGTGCAGAATGGAAAATAATGTATCCCAAAAATATTTTTTAATCAGATAAATGTTAATAAAATGAAAAATAGTTTGTCATGGAGTCAATTTATCTAAGCCATCATTAGAGAGCACCAACAATCCTCACAAAAATTACGAACAAATTTAGCCCGTCAATAAATACTTTAGATGAGGTTAAAGATTATTATTGAAGAGTAGATAAACAGTTGACTTTCGAAACATATACGTTATTAAATAATTTGCTACAAACACCAATAACAACATAAACAACAAAACTATGAATGTAAAATATCACAAAGTTGAAAAGTGCATTATTTCACCATAGACATACATTTTTTCTCGTCAAACAATAACTTATTGGCACTTGAGTTATTTTGCTTACTGGGCATGAGTTTTATACAGACACGTAAAGAAGGGAAATCTTGAAAAATACGTATAATTCAGTTGCATTAACAGTATGAATAAGATCTTTCATTAGTATTGGAAAAGACGCATGTCTGTATATATAATCAGTGAACAATCAACCCAAAAGCAGTAAATGTTAAAAGGGAATAAAAATTCCATCAAAACACCAATACTGTGCAATAAACATAGATCGGTAACTTTCGACTAATATAATGTTAAATATCAGATACTGCGACATCTATGTGAAAATTAAAAAAAAAAAACTAGGCTTAACACTACAAATGTGAATAACAATTGTTTTTTTACTAGTATAGGGGTTGTGGAGATTATTAAGTTTTTGATTGAGATCTTGAACCGATTGATGTTAGACGATCAAAATTGAAAACCTGGAAGCACTGGACGGCCGTTTCGTCCTATTGTGGGACTCCTCAGCAGTGCGCATCCACGATCCCGCGAGCGGGATTCGAACCCAGGGCCTTTGGTCTCGCGCGCGAACACTTAACCAACTGGACCACTGAGCCGGCATCCAATGGTGATAGTTTCTAACATCAACCAATCCACGAAATTGCGCGACCAACTTCCATTGTACTGAAGTAGATAACTGTCTCTACCCGACAAGGATTAGCTTCACTGGTCACGGCTTCTCACTAGAACTCCGAGTATTCCCTCACGAAGCTAGTCACTAGTGAGCACATGTTGATTACTAGTATAGGGGTTGTGGAGATTATTAAGTTTTTGATTAAGATCTTGAATCCCGCCCGCCGGATCGTGGATGCGCACTGCTGAGGAGTCCCACAATAGGACGAAACGGCCGTCCAGTGCTTCCAGGTTTTCAATTTTGATCGTCTAACATCAATCGGTTCAAGATCTCAATCAAAAAATTGTTTTTTTAGTCTAATCTACTAGTATTACTAATATTAATTGTATATTTTCCTCTTTAACAATGTATAAACCGGTTAAAATTTCCGTAGAAGACATTGAATAACTTATGTTATTGGTAGTCAGTTGACTGATATTGTACGGAATAGTGAAAATTGATTTAACTGAAAATTTTCCAGTATATATATATGAAATAATTGATTTAAAATATCTTTACTCTATAAGTGATCAAACTTGACTGAATGTTTTTAATGATACGGTTTAAAACAAAACATTTCATCTCGACTTAAAACGAAACATTACCATTTATATTGATTTATAGGCGAAAAAAAAACTAAGAAACAAGGGAATTAAATTATATGTTTAGTTCGATGTAATCAGGTCATGCATTTTGATTGTTTTGTTTTTTTGTTGTTGTTGCCAAATTATAAATATTATGCATAATTTCTATCATTTTGTGTGTGTGTTTGTGTGTTTTCTTTTTCCTTCAGAAAATAGAATGGAGATTATTTATTAATGTTGACTAGTTAAATAATAGTTGAATAAAGTATCATTCTGGCATTAATTTTTTTTTTGTTTTTCACCTTAATGATGAGTTAATGTGATTTGAAGATTTGAAAGAAATAAGAATAATTAATATACATAATAAATAAAGTTTATATTATGTCATTTTCTAGAATAAATTATTCACATTTATATAATGAATTGAATTAACATCATGAATACATTTCACAATTGTACAGTGATATATATATATATATATATATATATATATATACATAATTTCTTTAAAATAAAAAATAAATTATAATACATACTTTTGCTGAATCAGATATTTTATTCCAATTATTATTGATTAAATCTAATCGACCAGATTCTATACGTGATAAAACTACTTCAGATGATTCATTTGGTTTAATTGCAAATGGTGTTTGTCCAAATAACATTGTATACACTAATACACCTAAACTCCATACATCACATGCAGCATGATAACCTTGCATTTTTAACACCTATATTATTATTATTATTATGCATTAATGATGATATGTAAAAAAATATAAGAAGAGTAATGATGTACAAATGAATCAAAAGTGATATATACACAAGTGAAAATTAGTTCGAAACGTAATAATAATAATAGATAATAATGTGTACATGCATAAAGTACTTTGTGTATTTATAAAAAGTTAATAGCTCACAAATGTGCTGGTGCGGACAAGAGTAGGGAGAGTCAGCTCTCTCTCTATCGAAATACTCTAACATGGCCACGTGCATAAAATTACTGCCAAGGAAGTCCTACTCACTGCATTCTTATGGCGGGGGTGTTGTTTACCAAATTGAGGGAACGAAAATCGAATGCCCGGCGCTTTAAGTGGGTTGATGGATGTGGAGGATCCACAAACAATAAAACAGACAAACTGAAATAATTTAAATGATTTGAAGCTATCACTAGACTATTGGCAGAGTGATTAACTCCTAACAACCAACTCATTTCGATTGTTTTTTAAGCAATACACCAATATGTCATACAAACTGACTGATGTTAATTGTTTTCTCAATTTCTTTTTTTATGGCTAGTCCTTCATGTTTATCGGGCAACTTATTAGTTATACTTGACTGGAATATGTCAACCGAGGTCCAATCTTCTCTAAAACTAACTAGTATGTTTGAATAAATTGACAGTTTTTATTTGCCAAAGACTGATTTCAGCGTGTGTGCAAACGAAAACCAGAGAGCATTAAACAGATGCTTCGCCTCAATACAGGACTCTATAGAAGAATGTACCCTAGATCACACAAAGCGGTCGATTCCAAGATCTTCAGATACCACCGTGAACATGAACAATAGAAGCACCGGGTTGGTATCTATGGTAAATAAATAAGCACTATATTATAAAGCTTGAATTTTTTTTACTGATGGTTCAATATCAAAGCAAATTGAACACAAATACGACTTTAAAAAATCAAAACTGTCAAGCAATTTACTTCTGGTGCGACAAAATTTGCAGTATAACACGGTGTCATTAAAAGACCATTTTCAGCTCTCAATTGTTTTGCAAAACCAAAATCACATATTCTCAGGGAAGATGCATCACCAGAATCGTCTGCATATAATACATTGGATGGTTTAAGATCACGATGGACAACCTGGCAAAATAAGGGATATTTACATACATATGCAGTAATAATAGGTTTTTAAATAATAATTATACAAACATCAACATAATGTAATGTATTGAGATTTTTCAAACATTTTGTATATATATAGTAAATTCATTTACCCTATTGGTTTAAACCCATAAATAAAACTGAAGATATATCAATGAAATGTATTTTCAAGAAACACATAAAATACATTCAATATTATATCACAGATAGCAAAATGTTCAACATATTTCTGTATCACAATTTATACTTCGGTTGTCTATTTAGTAAATCAAATGAAACATAATTATTCACACCTTTTGAGATCACACACCGACCTAAGTAAGTTATCCACTGAAAGCCAAGAAGCATTGTACAGATGTTTCATCTCCGTATAGGACTAATCCTCAGTAGTTTGTATTTACGGCTACTTAAGGAACAAAACTCAGAATTCACAAAGAGAGTTTAAACTTTAGGCTATTTAAACAACTCCAGCTTATGAAACGCGTTTTTCTGAAACATAAATTTACCGAAATAATTATTCATAAGTATCAGAAGGAGTTTTGTGTGGATTGTAGTAATTTCAATAGTTAAGATCATGAGTCAGGTTTTACATGGTGGTCTTGCTTCAATTAATTCACGATCTCAACTATTGAAATTATTCATAAATTGAAAATGTGAAATTATCTATTTTGTTAATACTACTTAGAAAAATTTCTTTTCAAGAGATATTCCTAGTGCATTGCGTTTATAAATTCAAATATGTGATCGTGATTAACATAATGAAGTTGTTCGTAACAATCTATATGAATGATTTCATTTCGTCCAAGATAAGGTGACAGCCTATTATTTGTTACAAATGCTTGCATTGTGTATATATTATGCATATATTTATTAGATTAGATTATACAGCACACACATACACACAAAATACACATAGTGTTTACACAATTCTATTAAAAACGAAACGACTTCGTGTTGTACAACCAAGCGTCTGATTGAACAGGTCAACTCATTTTCAAATGAACTATTATTACATTCCAATTAAAAACTTGTTTGCATTTAAATGGCTACAACTTACAACTATATACTATATTGTTTACAGAGTACAATAACTACATATACATTTACATTGACCTTCAGAGATATATGGCTCAACTACAAATTAATGCAATGATATTTGAGTTATCGTCACAAGACTAAAATATGTATGGTATCATGTTCACATGACCAAAAATACACGCACTATGTCTATCAAGGAAAAAGATACACTGTTTTGATTTTTGGTTTGAGAGATTAGTTTTGATAAGTAAATGTAAGCTATGAGAGGATGTGATTCAAAAGCTCAGATGTTTTATTTAACGAGTTGGATGGTAAGAGATTAAGCCAGAGAAGAAAACATTCAAAATAAGTAATGTAAACAAGGATAACAGTAAACAACAGTAAGAAATCAAAATCCATGTCAACAGAACACTCTGTTAGTTAATTGTGGAGAAATTCTAAACACTCACTTCATTTCAAACTATGTACTGATGACATTGTCTAGAAAGATGATGGGAGAGCACAAAACCTTTAGAGTGCAATATTTATTGTTTTCACATGATATAATTTCACTTTTTTAAAAGATAATCTGAAGTGATACGTGTTAGAACAAGATAAAGTGATGTATCAAAAAATACAGACTACATAAGCACAGTAGATTGATCGATGAGCGGTGACCGATGCCGTATTCGTTATATATGCTACATAAATTGTGATATCCCTAATTTAGGTGGATTAACGTTACGTGTACTATGACCAGTTGTTAATTGGTTGGAAGTGGTAAACAAGAAATCCTGGACTACGGTCTGTTAGTTGACACTTGTCAATAGTGTATACCTAAATCTTGGGAGACCTGATGCTTGCTAAGGGATTCGAATCAGAGTATTGAAGGAAGAATTGTTAGAATCACGTCTGAATATGGTTACACATATTAGTATTCCGTTCACCTTATTACAGCTGGATTAATCATTTGGATTTATTCATTAATTTTTGTAATAACAGAATTTATTGAATTAAACACATTATGTTATCACAACGATAAAGCACTAGAAATCTATACTATGAACTCGAAACTTCATAACAACAAATAATTTTGTAAACGCACAACATAATAAAAAAAAACTAATAACTGAGTTTACAGAAAACGAGAAATTACTACTATTATTACTACATATTTATTTAATAGTATGACAAGTAAAGATCGTAGACGAAACATTTGTGAACATCACATATTATGCATAAATGATGAGGATAAGTTAAGTAATAAATCGATATTTCCTCAAACAGTCTATGAATTAATGTATTCTATTTATTATTATTACGTTTTCCGATGATAAATACTCGTTTATTTTACTCATTAAATAAAATAAACACTTTTATCTTATGACTTTGTTGACAAAACGACTGTATTTTTACATATACAGACCAACGTAACTAAAAGGTATTACTTTTTAATTAGTTTTTCTTCATAGCTGTAGACCGGGGTATATATATATATATATATATATATATATATATATATATATCTTTTGTATTGGTTGCTCAAATCTTCTCAGTGATGTTTAGGATTATTAGCCTTTTCTGGGATACATGCATAGCGTGAGGATTGTCTCGATAATGCTATAAAGTCACAAGTATTTAGGCAGAGATGGATGATAGCTAGCAGTGGAGTCCAGGTACCTCTAACTGACGAGTCCTAAATACGACGAGACACGCGTCCTAGATTCCACTGCTAGCCATCATCCAACTCTGCCCAAACATATATTTTGATCGAGTTTTGTTCTCTGAGTTGGATGGTTGGTCCAAACCACCAAAATTATCCATCTAAGCTACAAATTTCTACCATCTCAAAATCATATGAGCATGGTACGATTCGCGTTGTTCGAAAATGGGTGAATTTCGCCAAAAGGTAGGCTTTCCCTCGAAAACAACTGTATTTTCTTCATGAGTATCTTCGTCAGCATGTTCCGCCATCAAGTGTAAGATGCAGACCTCAAATGAACTGACCAATAGGATGGGGAATATATATATATATATATATATATATATATATATATATATATATATATATATATATATATATATATATATATATAAATGATTTGCAATAATAAAATAATACTAATCGAGTATAACTCTATTAAAATTATCGACGTTATTTTCACATTTCAATATTCATGTCTTGATACTTACACGACTATTATAAAATTGATTTTCCATCAAAATATTTCATCGACCCCCTTATTAAATATTATGCAATCTGGAAGTCATTTAATTATGTTTTAACAAATAGCTACTTTGCTTAGTACAATTGTAGTGAACAAGAACGCGGGTGGGGACAATCGAATGTATTTAGCTCGAAAATTACAGACTATCTCAACAAAATCTGAATACCATAAAGTCAATCGTCAATTTGCAAATTATCAATACATCATATCAAACTGTACTGTTCAAGCTGCAAACACTAATCCATTGTCTCCCATTCCATTGTTCATAAGTTTTCTTACAAATTCCATTATGTTCTTGCTCCACCTTTCTTGGTCTTCGCCATCTTTTGCTGCCGAGCATTACGTTCTTTTAACGCACGTTATATACTACTTATGTCAATATAAGTAGCTCACACCACACTCGTCCCCCCCTTTAAAGCAGTCGTTCTTGTGGTGGTTCGTGCTCGCCGTGCAACATTCTCCGCCTCTGCAGTCTGTGCCACGCTCTCCGTCAAAATGTCGAGTCTGCGGGGCGCTGACTTCCGTAGCTCCGTCGACCTGCCGGGAAAGCAACAACCGACATCCACCCGGCACCTGGGACGCTTAACACCCGTACTCCACCGGCCTGCTGAGCCATCTACATTCGATGTCCGCCCAGCAGCCGCGCGTCCCACCGCTCCTCTCCGCCGACAGCATCCACTACAGCCAACGCCGCCCCGCCAGAACGCTCCACTAGACGCCGCCTCTCCGCACCAGACTGCCCCAACTGGCACCTCAGCCCCAAGCCCGCAACGGCTTCCGCAGAACAGCACACTCCTCCTCTCCCGGTTGGCAGCGACACCAAATGTAGTGAACAAGAACGCGGGTGGGGACAATCGAATGTATTTAGCTCGAAAATTACAGACTATCTCAACAAAATCTGAATACCATAAGTCAATCGTCAATTTGCAAATTATCAATACATCATATCAAACTGTACTGTTCAAGCTGCAAACACTAATCCATTGTCTCCCATTCCATTGTTCATAAGTTTTCTTACAAATTCCATTATGTTCTTGCTCCACCTTTCTTGGTCTTCGCCATCTTTTGCTGCCGAGCATTACGTTCTTTTAACGCACGTTATATACTACTTATGTCAATATAAGTAGCTCACACCACACAATTACCGTATTACATTACTTTTAATCCCTATGCTAATCATTTAATATTATTTTTATAATCACTTGCGAAATCCTAGTACTGCTAATCAGTCGATATTACTTTATTTTCATAGTCGTTAAATTGTGAAATGACTTTAGCTAGACCATCAGTCCTCGACAGCGCACATAAGTGACATCAGGGATCGAGCCTGAAATCATGGGTTTTGCGAGCAATCGCTTGATCTCAAGAGATCACTCAGCCGGCATACAAACAGAAATTTAGTCAATTCGTGAAACCGCATTGCCATCTTCCATTGTTTCTGGTGGATAACTGTTTCATGCTCAAAATGATTGAACTCCATTGGTAACGCCTTTATTGTTGTAAATCACGTGTATATGTATTGATGTGGAGCTATAATAAAAAATTAGTAGGAAAAATATTTTTGCACTTTATTCATCTTTGTGCTAAACGTCTGAATCAGAATTTTCACTGCAACTGTTTTTTTGGTTAAGCATCGAGCCTAATATATTTTAACTTTAAACGAAAAGAATAGTTTAAAAAGTTACTTTCTACACCCAAACAATCAATCAGAAAATAAGAAACATATTTCTAGCC